GCAAAGGTATTCTATACATACATGTACATTGTATTTGTGTCAGGGCTTTTTCTCAAGCTTGTAGGTGTCTGAAGATGGTATACAGGGATATAAAAAAAAACATACAGGTTTGTTTCAAGAGTTAAAGGCCTTGGCGCATGAATAGACTTAAGGATTCGCATGGATTATTTACAAGTTTGGGATATGAAACTAAGTGCAGTTCAATAGAAGGAAATCATCAAGATTAATAGCTACTCTGCTCATACTGTTTATAATAATGAGCTTTTGGGTCACAAATGTTCACATTAGCTTTTTAATCCAGACCTAATCCTCTTCTTCCCTTCATCCAACATCTCATCATCATTGATATTAGCTTTTGGATCCGTGCTCGACCCTCTTCTATCTCTAAATGTGAAATGAGTATATTAAAGAGAAAGTGAGAGTAAGCCTTTCACCTTAGTTTCATTTGGGTCCAAACCAGACCAGATCCTCTTCTATCCTTCACATAATAGGTCCAGACTTGACCCTTTTTGACCTCTAATGGGGTGTAAGAGATAGTGAGAGTAAGCCTTTCACATTAGCTTCATTTGGATCCAGACCCGATCCTCTTCTATCCTTAATACCATTCATATTAGGTCCAGACTCTAATATGAAAGGGGTATAAGAGAAAGTGAGAGTACCATAAGCCTTTCACATTAGCTTCATTTGGGTCCAAACCAGGTCCAAACCAGACCAGATCCTCTTCTATCCTTCATATTAGGTCCAGACTTGACCCTTTCCAACCTCTAATATGAAAGGGGTATAAGAGAAAGTAAGAGTAGGGAAGGGATCTGGGGTGAACTAGACAGAGAGGTCATAAGGTGATCCAATGAAAGCAGGAAACCTGTAGGGAGTAGCAGGAAATTTCAGAGGAAGACAGTCAACTATGTGCTAACGTGTTATGTGTGAGCACTTGCAAGCAGTCTGATACATGCACATCAGAAAGAGTAGCAGACAGTTCCAACTTGACACAGAACTTGCTATGCCGTCGAGTGAGATGCACTATATTCCATTCACTTTAATTCACTCACTATATCTATGCAGGTCTTCACACCCTCTTTCCGCACTGGAATTCTGGGTTGAATGTGTTTTTTTAAGTCTTTGTGCAAGAGGAACAATTTTTTTTTTATTTTGAAAGCTTTGGGTTCAAGAGCATCAACCTCTTCATCCTGGAATCCACTACCATTGAGAATATTTTTTTAAAGTCTCCATGAAAATCAATCTCATTTTCATTTCACGACCGAATTCCTTCTTCCTTTTTTATGTGCGTGTTATTTACAGTGTACATGTACAAGTAAGGGTTGGAACAAGGCCTTCCATTATTCAGTGGTCTAAAGTTATGCTAAAATAATTTTAAGCTGCCATCAACTCATAATATGGGCCTAATGTACATATACATGCAAATTTAGTTCTAATGAACATCTGACTCATTTGATTGGACTGAGGGTCTTTTTATTACTGTCTGTGCATACAGGCCAATGAGGCTATTTACACAAATGACCAAGGAAATGCTGTTTAATCTAGATACAATAACAACTAAAGCCTTTTTGAGGTCAAGTCTATTTGATCTAGGCTACTTCCTGCTATTTTACACAATTAACCAACAAGCTCCTATTCCTACAGTACTTTGACAGAACAGCTTTGCATTGAAGTTTCAAAGTGCTAACCAAATATAGACAATGCCACAAAAGTGCTCCGGAGTGAGTAGTGTTTAGTGTTTAGATAACACCATATGCCAGGGAATACCTTCATACGGGATGTACACAGGGGGGTTGTATTTGTTTGTAAACAAAAAGTGTAACATTCATGTATATATTGAAATGAAGTCAACGGTACATGCACAGTGATGCGCAAGGACACGTCCTTATTTATCGAAACTGTAGGTCTTAGTAAATAACTTATAACAAACATTTGACAATTCTATTTAAAAAGAGATAATAAGTGCATTTAAACATACAGCACATGTACTGTACATTTATGAAAAAAATTGGGTAAATTCTCTTCAAAAAGAAAATGAGAAGTCCATTTCAAGGACTCTAAATTACATGAAATTAATGAAAATGTACCGGTAAATGTATATCTCTCTCTATCTCTCTCTTTTTTGTTTTTTTAATCAGTGTATCATATCGTTTTGACTAATGTGATAAAAATCACTGATTGAATCGCAAATTCTTTTTTTAGTTTTTACTGTAATACTTTTTTATCACAAATCGTGTGTAGGATTCCTGTTTCTTCTCTGTATTTTGCCACTTCCTAGTTTAAAAAAATATACATGTATATCAATCTTTATTTTAGATGAATAGTGCAATGACCTGGAAAATACAGATGATGATTTCTGCATAAAAAAAATAGTCAATTGATTATCATTAATATTGGGTTACTTTTCTACTCTATCAAGCGCACATTAATCTGCATTTCCCGCTTTGATGGACAAGCGCACAATGCAAACATATTTCTGTGAAAATCATATCATATTCTTATCTCTTTTTGAGTTCATTTAGAAAAGACAATAACAATCACCATGATGTCGATCATACAGCATGCATGTTTCTACAAGAGACCAGGAAAGTAGCAGTAATGTTTGCAGAACAGACCCAGAAAGTCATCTCCCTATTAGAATATTTAAAGGGGCATGTTCCCCATATTCCAGAGGACGTTCAAAATACGTATCCGCTGGCGGACGGTGCTAGCTGCCTATTGACACCAACAGAATACAGCTCTTACGCAGATGGCATGTTCCAAATGCCCGAACAATGCCGATTATCGCATACATGTGCCGAAGTAATACCAATCGCAGTTCGGCTCTAAGATTCGGCTGCTGTTTCCGCCCACTTTCGTGACATCACAATCGGCAGCGATCAGCTGGCTTGGCGAAGGCAGGCCAGGATGCGCGTACTTTGATTGACAGCTGTATGCAAATAAGAAGTCGATCTTCGGAACCAAAATGGCGATGACTAGAGCAGCGATAACTACACTGGCGGGAACGTGCCCCTTTAAGAACGGACTCAATAGAAACTGTGATAAACCACATATTCATACAGCTAACCAAATTTTCCTAGTATTGTATACTGTAAGATGCCCCGAAAAGTGGGCGTTGCGTGCAATATTACATACATTGTGAAGGGCTGGAAGCCCCAGGAATTTGATGGCAAAATTTCACTTAAATCGTATCATAATGTGAAAGAGGATGTCATTTAAAGGTAATATAAAGTTTTGGTATGGGGTCATGAATTTGGTTCAAATGAACTTATTGAAAGCATACATGTATGCGATCCTACAATATTCAGTGATCGTTGTCGCGGTTGAAATCGAGTCAAAAGTTATGAAATTCTAAATAATAAACTCTTTTAGTTGTATAGCTCCCTCTCAAGGCCAAGATATAAATTAAGCTATAAAACAATGTTTCTTAACTAAAATCGACCGATTAGCTATTCCCGTTTGGAAATTATATATTGCAAGTTTGCAACTACATATTCTGAGATTTTCATGGTCGCAGCTACCATTGTACGGCCTTAGGCGCTATTTGAAATTTATTAACATTTACCGGGAGCACCGGTAAATTTTTATATTTAATTTTTCTCGAAAGCAGAAGTGTTTTAGGGGCTAAATTTTCTAGTGCTTTTAACACGTACACAGGGGCATCCAAATATATCAAAATTGTAAAGAATGACTATCCACCCAAATTTCAAAATTTCCCAAAACTTTGTATTACCTTTAAGACATATTTCTTGAAGGACTTTCAAATCAAATGTATTTGAAACTTTGAAGTCCAATATTGATGAAAAAATACAAACTTTAGGTTTTCTGTGTACAACAGACAATCCAATTTTAGACCCTATGTATTCTTAATTTCTTTTCTCAATATTTGTCTTCAAATACATTTTTGGGGGGAAAATCTTTGCAGAAAATGACATTCTCTTTCACATTATGAAACAATTTAGGTGAAATTTTGCCATCAAATTTTTGAAGAATTTGGGGCTCCCATGCCTCCCAACACTTTAGAAGGGCCTTAAATAATTGCTTAGGCCTACATTAATTGAACTCTTTGCAAAAACTCAAACAGCAAGTAGCCACGTAAAAAAATTACATTAAGAGATGGGTATGCTCTTCCATGACCGGAATAGCTTAATGGGATTATTGTGTTTTTCTACAGAAGGGTATACCAGTACCTAAAACTAATAGTAGATCTATGTTGGCCTTGGAAAGTTAAAGAAAATACCTGTAGGGCCTTGTAGAAACACTATGTCGATCCATAAGTCAGGATATAACGCCAAGGTTACTTGGGTGTGCAGGTGCAGGTGCAGGTGCAGGTGGACCACTACACAGGGGTTCCCCCTACTCTTAGACGAATAGTTCAGTGGGTTCTTAACATCCTATCCGAGGACCAAGGAACTGATTGTTTTTCAATTTAACATAGCCTGCGTCTATGAAACAAGGGGAGGGGCATGCTAACACACAATGCAGGCTTCAGTTATCCGCCTGGGTAGAATTCGAGATCTTTGGTTTGACAGGCAGACGCTTTAACGACTGAGCCAACTTGCCTCCTGCACTGATACAAATTCACATAATTTTTCCTAAATCCCTAATATAAACTGAATAAAAGATAAATACAACAGTTTCCAGAGTAAGGCTTAGAGTACTGCCGGGCGAATTGCATCAAAATTCAAACGTGATTGTGAATGTGATCACAAATTAAAATTGACGAAACTGCTGATAATCATCCAAGCATTTGTATCACTATCAATCATGCTAGAAAAAATGATAAAAATAGTTTCTAGCCAGTAACAGAAGATGGAGTTTCATAAAGTTTAATTCTAATAATCCGACATGTACATCTATAGAGTCTAGAAGTACTGCAGGTCGAGTGCCATATCCAGGCATCATCACATCACACATTCATTTCAATCATTAGAATCAGCACTAAATCTGTGTGACTCGACTGTGCATCATTCATGCATCAGAATCTATCGACTGCAACCCACCTCTTCTAACGCGGAAACAACATTTCGGCAGGCTCCCATCCGAGCCACAAAATTCGACGTCGTCGGCGAACTGATGTCATCTGTGGTCTCCGCCAAAAACTCGGCGACGGTGATGGTGTCCGGCATGATTTCCACATCAGAAATTGCACTAAAAATGGAAGAAATCCTTCAATTTTCCCAATAATTTTAGAACGCTTCCTGTACCGTTATCGCACAGAAAATGTACGAGCAGCGCCTATTTATTTCGCCGACTATACTTTTACATAGCTAGCTAGCTAACTAGTCTGGGGCCACTAGATGGCGCTATACTTTTTTGCGAATATGTTGGGTTTTTTGCGTGTGAGGTTATGTTTATCGGGGAGGAGATTTTTCTTTCGGGGGGATCCGTCGTTTAGATATACATCTTTTGTCATAAATTAAATAAGTCCAAATGTAGGTAAGCCAGCACATCAACCTCTTATAACATGTTTAACAACAGAACATATGATGTGTTGAGACAGGGGCGGCGGAGCAACTTCCAAAGGGAGGCACCAACAAAAAGGGCACTTTCTGGAGAAAAAAATGGGCACATACGAAGGGAAATCTCAAAGCGAAAATACACCATTTTGAATACATTAGTATATACCCCTGTAATTTTATTACATTATCAGGGATGATTTCAATATTTGTTTCTCTTATAAGCATCATACTTTGCAGTTGAGTGTGATGGTCTGAATATTTATTTGCAAGCGAGCGAGGACAAATTTTGAGATTTGTGAGGTCGCAATACGAAAAAATCTTATAAAGAGGAAAACGCAATCCTGATGGCACAGACTGGAAAGACCTTTGATAAGTAAAACAATTATATGCTCCATAAATGCGGGCGTGTGTAGCAAGCAAGCTTTGGGGGAAATTGCTCTTAGTCGCTTTAAATTAGGGGCACGTTTGATGATGACAGGAAAAGGAGACACTTATCAAAAGGGATCAGATACGTAAAAGAAAAGAAAAGGAGCATGTGTCAAAGTCAAAATACAAAGGGTTGTTATCGGAGGTAAAAATGGGACACTTCTTACACCTGAAAACAAACACTAACCTGGGATGAAGAAAGGCACTTATGAGAGTGGGAAATGGGCATTTGTCGACGGAAAGGGGCACCCATCATTTGTTGATAGGGGCATTTATAAGAGGTGACAAGGGGCATTTATGAAAAGGGGCTAGGTACCTTATTTATAAGAAAGGAAAGTGGCATGTATCATTGTTAAAAGGGGAATTATCAGAAGTAAAAAGGGGCACTTATCGCACCTGAAAAGGGGCACTGACCAAATATGAAAAGGGGCACTTATGAGAATGGAAAAGGGGCATTTTTTTTTAAAGAAAAAAAAAGTGCATTTTTAAAAAAAAGAGGCACCGATCAGATTTTAATAGGAGCATTTATCGGTAATGAAAGAGGGCTTTTATGAGAAGGGAGAAGTGGCTTTTATTAAAAAGAAAAGGAGGCACATGTTAAAATAAACGGGGCATTTATCAGAGATGAAAAGGGGTAATTATGAGGAGGAGCACTTATAAGAAGGAAAAAGAGCAATTATTAGAGGTGAAAAGGGCCACTCATCGGATATGAAAAGAGCACTTATCCGGAAGGGAAGGGGCACTTGTCAAAGTAAAACGAGCATCTCTCATATTTGAATAGGGGCAATTATTCGAGATGAAGGGGGCATATCTGAAATGAAAAGGAATATAACTTCTCGTACCTGAAAAGGGTCATTTACCAGAGATGAAAAGGGGCACTAATGAGAATGAAATAGGGGCATTTATGAGAAGGGAAGGGTTCTTTTTTTAATTTAATGGGGGCGCATATCATAAAGAAATGGGGCACATGTGAAAATAAAAGGTGCGCTTATCCGAGTTAAAAGGTGTATATGTATAGTTATTAGAAAGGGGAGGGGAACTTTTCACAAAGGAAAAGTGGCACTTGTGAAAGTAAAAGATACGCCTCTCAGATTTGAATAGGGCAAATATCATAGGTGAAGGGGGCGCTTATTAAAAGTGGAAAGGGGCACTTCTCGTACCTAAAAAGAGGTACCTACTAGAGATTAAAAATGGCACTTATGAGAATGGAAAATGGACACTAATTGCAAAAGAAAATGGGGACTTATCGATGGAAAAGGGGCACGTGTCGAAACAAAGGGAGCGCTTATTAAAGGTGAAAGGGGGAAGGGGCACCTTTACAAAGTAACAGAGGCACTTCTTAAAAACTTAACAGGGCACTTTTCCTATGTTAAAAAGGGCTCTTTGGAGTATTTAAAAAATGGGGGACTGTGCCCCTACCCCCTTTCCCTTGTGCGATGAGGTTACTTTAACTTTATGGCCGTAACAGAGATTTGTATTTATTTATTTTTTCATAACACGAGGGTTATAATTCTTCCGATGACTGAACTTTTGGAAATTTCTCGCCCAAATTTGGTAATCATTTTTTGCTAAATTATGCTAAAGGAGATATGCTCGAAGCCATAATAATGAGAAGGAAAAGTGGACGGTAAACATGGAAGAGGTAGACCAATAATTGGGATGGTGCCAGACTTGACAGGGGAAATATCGTATGACAAAATAAAGACGAAGATAGAGAGGGGTCGAGAAAGAACTAAAGCGGACCTGCCCTTGGTAGATTACACCTGGAAAAAAAAGAGAAAGAGAAAGAGAGAGAGAGAGAGAGAGAGAGAGAGAGAGAGAGAGAGAGAGAGAGAGAGAGAGGGAGGGAGGGAGAGAGAGAGAGAGAGAGAGAGAGAGAGAGGGGGGGGGGGGGAGAGAGAGAGAGAGATGGTAAAACAGGAAATTGTTCCAAAATGAACAAAGTCACCGTTATCCAAGTTGGACTCGTCGTTACCATCGACTTAAAAAACTTTTTATTTCCAATAATATATAGACCCTTTATATATGTTTATAATATACCAGTACATATATATAATAAAGAGAAGATAGTGTTCTGCGACGGAGGAGATTTAGAATAAGACTCAACAAAATATCTTTAAAAAAACTCGGTTAACATAATGGTGTAACAATAAGGATCATGGAGTTTCACTATTACACCGTTTTCACCATCAATATACTTTTTTTATTTTTTTTATTTTTAGAGTGACATTTCTCTTTCTGTAATAAAACGAAACATACACCCACAAAAAAGGGAATTTGAAAAGGGCAAGGTCTTTTCCACTTTTTCAAATTACTCTTTTTTTTTTAGAATGGAGATCTAAAAATGAGTGGGATGATTGAGGATTCTCATCCCATTCTTAGACAAATCATGCAAGTTATTCACTTCGGTAGAGCAATGGTCTCGTAATCCGGTGACCCGGGTTTGAAGCCAAGGCGATGCGCTAGTGCCCTTTGGCCACGGCATTAATCCGCATTACCAGGTCCCTCGGAGAGGACCTCAAGCCATAGGTCCTCTGGTTGATTACTAACAACAAGCATTTATGCTTTCTTAGCAGTCATGTAAAATAATATCTACCATCCCCATTTCACTTTCCCCGTTCTTAGAATAATGAATGACTTGGACGTAAATTTCTTCTTTCTCTTTTTCATTTATATGTTATTATTCCTCCCCAATTGCCTTGCACCTGTAGCATCTTACTTACTTTCAGGAATTTACATTTCTGTTTTTTAAACATAAAATTAAGGGGAATTTTTTTTTAAACAAGAGACTCCTCGTATTTCTGCTTCAACCTTGTGAAAAATGTGAATCCCTCACCTTGCAAATCTTATCGTTTATTTCCATTTGCTTGGGTTTTATTCTCTTTTATATTCTCTTTTCTCTCTCCCAATAGCAGTCAAACATATACATTTTTTTTGGCAAGACAAGGTTTCATAGAACATGCCATGTTGGCAGCGTCACATATACTGGATGTTTAGAACGTTATCGCTCTCTTTATCTAGTACTTTACTACCCTTCTCCTTCACTCTTCCCCTATCCCCAATTTGCATTAGTTTACGTTCCTCTCAGGAAGTCACTCCTTTATCTACCCACCCCCCCCCCCCCCTCTTGAATTTTTCATTGTCCACCTGCCTTCCTCCTTCTCTTCTATTTCTCTCCTTCTCTCAAAATATGTCAGTCTCACAAAACTGCATAACAAAAGCTGTAAAATGGTGAAGAGATGAACAATAAGGAAAGAGAAAATAAAACAGGGGAGTGGAAAGGAGAGACAGAGGTTAAGATACAATGGAATGAAAGATAGATGGACAATGGGATGAAGGATATATTAATAGAAAGATGGATTGACAGAAAGACGGAAGACAGAAAGACGGAAGACAGATGGATATACAAGGGAGAGATGAGGTTTTTTTTTTATATACATGTATTTTTCAACTTCTAATCAGTGTAAGTTTCTCATTAAATCAGCCCATATGAAGACACACACGATTTATGTTTTCAACTTTATTTTAAAAAGACAATTCCACATGTAGTAATCAATTATTTTTTTACATATTGACATGATAACAAATTAGCATATTCTCTTTAAAAAAAAATGTAATGCATCAGTCTGGTTGCTTTGATTCATTTTAAGTTTGAAATCTTGACATCAAAATCAAAATCTTGAAGTGAAGGAACAAAAATAAATATATTACTTGAACAAATCATTGTTTAACAAGAAAAATTGTAAAACAGAGGCATGTGGTTGATCTCTACCGAATGTTTAGTTCATGGCATATAAAAGAAAGTCAGATGAAACTTCCTCAATCTATAAAATCTACACTGTCAATTAACCAGATACAAATACATGTACATCTAACTTATATGTGGGCCTATTTTGATCTGTGATGATTAATAGTATTGAAGAAAGATCCATTGAATCTAAACAGAAATTGGTCTTGCAATTCCAAAAGAGCTACTGGAGTCCGCTCTACTTGAAGCTCATGATGTTAGTGAACAGAAAGGTTTGATTTAACTCTTCCTCTACAACCTCAGTTTGTGACAAGAACAACAAAGCCATTATGTTAATACCAGCTATTGCCTATTCAATATTAAAGGCTTATCCACTACTTCCCTGTTCTCTTCTTTCATGTACTCGTTAATTTCCTTTAATCTGCTGTGTTTGGTTTATGCAATACAATGTACATGGTCTTTCAAGCTCATCAATAGAACAGCCTATGGCACTGGTTTTTTTTAACTATGACCAAATACCTAAATGGCCTTTTGAGAGCCTGAAACTTTTCAAAGATAAAGAATTAGAAATCAATTACAATTTTTTTCTTGTAGCATGGACCTAGATTGACCTCCCATAGCTTAATGAAAAA